ACATATAACTGCATTAAATATAAATATATCAATTGAGAAATAATTTATTTTTTTAATGGATTTTAATAAATATTATTATTATTTATTATTATAAAGATAAATATAATTTATTTATTTCATATATACAATATGAATGTCAAATAGAAGATCATCAAAAGATGATTAATTTGATATATTATATATGTAAAACCGACAAGAAATACAAAATTATCAACTTTTAAAATACATTTACAATTTAATAGCTAATTGAATGAAGAAAATCAAAAGTCATGGATATATTAGTCCCTTAGTGTGTAAAATTACATGGAATAAAAGGGTTATATTAGTACAAGTGATATTAAAATACCTAACTTAGTTAAATAAAATTTATGGAATGTCCGAACTTAAATTATTAATTATTAATATATCAATATTATTTGTTCAAACCTAATTACGAAGCATAATTCTTCGCCAAGTAGAATTTTGAAGTACCAGAAGCCAGGGGCAAATCTAGAAATGTTTTATGGAGGGGACCAGAATTGTAATTTGAAATGAATTATTTGCGAATATAACTAGAATTGACCGCGAAAACTCGGACAACCAATTAAATTTGTTTATTAAATGAACTGAGCTCAAGATCACAGTTTTTTTCGTTTATATATTGAGTCAAGCCAAGTCAACGCATTTATTAAACAAACACGAGATTAATAATGAGGTATTCAATTCGACTCCAATAGACATAAAAATCTAAAAATATTTTAAAAGTTGCATTCTAAATTCGATACCATAAATTATAAAAATGGAAAAACTACTTGTACAATTTTTTTGTACAACATTCAATGACAACATGATGTGACACAAATAAATGTATGGTTAAGATTTAAGCTAACGGTACTTTTAACTATGTTGTCAACTAATGTTGTAAACTACAATTATACATGTAGCATTGCCCTATAAAAATATTTTACAATAGACACAACTTTTGAAGTTTGATATTTTAAATTTGTATTCATCAACTATTGACTCTATATTAATAAAACTTGCAATGCTTTTTCAACTCTCTATTTAAAATTATTCGTTTTCAACTTTTCAAATGGTACATTCAGTTAATTCATGACTATATGATATAATAAAAACAAAAACATTATGTTTAAAGATTGTAAAAAATTACATACAAAAATATAATATAGTTAAAAATTCTAAATGCATAGACCATTTTAATAACTAGTGATGATTATGTGGTATATGTATCGATTGATGAATATGCTTATAATATATATAGTCTGTATTTACATGGTAAATAAAGAGCAAAATACTGGCAAAATGCCTCTATATATATACATATATATATAGTAAAAAAAATAAAAAATTTGGGGGGACAATAGCCCCCCCTAAAGAACACTTGCATCCGCCTCTGCCAGAAGCAGTCACGTAGCCTCAGCGCATTCGATAATTATATATAAGGTATAGGGGGATTCCACAATATGCTAATATGTGCTACACATTGTTCTATTCGTTAGAAATCAATTTTAGAGTCAAAGTTGACAGAAACTCAAAGGTTGATTTGTTTGTCTTTGGTCCTAATTGGTATAAAATAAATTCAAGAACTTAAATTGTTGACTTTGTGGTATGGGAAAAGTACTAAATATTGGTTCAATAGTTATTTATCCTTATTTGATCAGAAATTTTAATATCCATTTATTAATTTCTTTAGGGTTTAGGGTTTAGGGTTTAGGGTTTAGGGTATCTGAAAGAGAAAGCGTTCGATGAAATGAAGAAATACCTGACCAACAGGCCAGTTTTGATGCGGATGGAGAGCCCTTGAAATTGTATATATCAGCTTCAGAAGATTCAATTCTATCATTCTTGGCACAGAAGAATGAGGAAGGAAAGGTTTGGAACCCTAAGTTAAGTCGCCTTCTTAAGAGGAAAGAAAGAGTTTTTGTTTCAAATTGCCGCGCTCCCACGTGAACAGCATGCCGTCGGTACGTAATTCCTCAAGCCCGCTGCTAAAAAGCCACGATGAGAAGTCGCGGCCAGTGGCTTGTCGGTTCCGGGCCCCCCCATACGTTCGCATTGCCGGATCGGAGATACAAACGATGTAGGAATCAAAGTTGATGCTTTATACGACTTTTAAATGAGGGGGCATATTTTGGGACATTTTTTTTATTATTATTCTTGTTGTATATCAATACTAGTACAACACCCGTGTATTACACGGGTGCTTGCTAATTTTTTCTTAAAATCTAAAAGTAATGAGAAAAAGTAGTTTGAATATTTAAGTACCTTTTATAAAAATATATATATATTATTATATATTTATTATGACACTTTTTATTTGTGCAACTTACTTGTGTTATATTATACTAATTTTTTTTTAACTTACGATATATAACTACATTACATATAAATATACCATTTGAAAAATAATTTTATTTTTCTAATAAATGTTAATAAATATTATTATTTTTTATTATTATAAAGATAAATATAATTTATTTATTTCATATATATACAATATGGATGTCAAATCGAAGATCATCAAAAGATGATTAATTTGATATATTATATATGTACAAAAGTTATCAACTTTTAAAATACATTTATAATTCAATAGCTTATTGAAGTAAATAAATCAAAATTCAGGGATATATTAGTCACTTAGTGCCTCACTATGTAAAATTACAAAGAATTAAAAGGGTTATATTAGTAAAAGTGATATTAAAAATACTTAAATTAGCTAAATAATATTTATGGAATACCCGAACCTATATTATTAATTATTAATATATCAATATTATTTATCCAAACCTAATTACGAAGCATGATTCTTCGCCAAATAGGATTCTGAAGCACCAGAAGCAGCCACGTAGGCTTAGCGCATTCGGGAATTATATATAGGGAGGATCTCACTATTATTATTATTATTATTATTATTATTATTATTATTATTATTATTATTATTATTATTATATCTATGTACAAAAAGAAAATGTCCATTACAAATGGAGCTGGAAGAGTCATTGTTGACAATTCTTCTGGCATAGTGCTAAGAAAATGGACTAGATCAAAATGGCTCAATTAAATTCTGGTGCTTCTTCTATTAGTGAAGTTTCTAGAAAAAAAAATATATCAAACGAAGCAATGCACCTTTGGTCGCTATGGAAACAGTCTCCTTGTATAATTACAAGGGTAATGTAAAATTTGAGTTACATTTATCTAATCATATAAAATTTATAGTATCCAATAGAAATGAGACAAGTGTCTCAATTCTCTCTCTCCCTTTTATCCAAAAAGAAAAAAAAAAAGAAAAAAAAAGAAAGCAAAGATGAAGCACAGTCGAGTGGCGACCCAAGGTCACAATGTGACCTGGGTCGCCCAAAATTCTGTCTTTTTCTTCTTTTTTTTTTTATTTTCTTTTTTATATTTTTTGTCTTTTTCTTGGTGACCCAACCTATGGGTCACCAATAAAGATGGTCTTAAGACTTACTTTACAGGTGACCCCGACCTGGGGGTCAAAAAAAAAAAAAAAAAAATAAAAAATAAAAACAAAAAAAAAATAAAAATAAAAGAAGGTCGTGAAAGTTGGCGACTCAGGTCACATTGTGACCTTGTGTCGCGACCTGCATAGTGTATGAAAATGGGACACTTGTCATATTTTAATTGGATAAGTGTATTTTTTTTATTTAAAAAAATAAAAAAATATATTAAAATTTGTATTTTTTTATTCTCTACAAATAGAGACCATACTTGATGTATTTTGAAATAAAATTATAATTTATAAATAAATTAAAATAAAATAAATATTTAGATTGTGTTGTGTTGGGGATAAAGATTAATTAGGTTGAAAAATTAAGTTGTGTATGTGGAGGAGAGAGAAATAATTTTTAATTATTAAGTTGGATTGGGTTGAGTTGGGGATAAGGATGGTCTATAAATCAAACAAAGACCCAATATAAAGGTACCCAATAATGTGTATAGGTGAAGACCAAACTAATTATGAAGGGTGAATTTATAGTCAAAACACATGAGAAATGGTTCAACTTGGTTCATAGTTTTCTAACATAAAAAAACCATACTTTTCAAAATTAACAACTAATTATATACATTATTTTTTTAAAAAGCATACAATTTAACTTGTAAAAATATGAAATTTTGTTCCTACTTTAACATACATGCTTATTTCAAATCATTTTCAAATGTTCTATGTTATGTGATTGTTTTACCAATTAACTTATGGAATCGTATTGACAAAAATGTACACACCAACAGGGTTGACTTAAGTGGTAAGCAGTTTGATGCCGCTTAAACAAGATATCGAGTTCGAGTCCTTATGGATGCAGAAAATCCTTGTTGGGAGACTCACCCACCACTACGAGGTGTGCGACCCAGGTCGACCAACGGATTAATCAGAGTATAACTCCGGATACCGAGAAAAAAAAAAATTGTACACTATCGATTTTTAGTAATGACATAATGAGAACCAATTAACTTAACCGAATTGTATGGACAAAATCTGAATGGTTGATTTTAGCAATAATATAATGAGAAAAAATAATGAATATTGGTTATATATAAATTATGATAACCGAATATGCAAATTATAATAAAGAAAATTGCTACATGAAAAAATATTCCCATTAAATTTGCCACTTTCAATTATTGTTTATTTATTTTTTTTGCCCTTTTTTTTTTGTACAGAGACCTTCCGGTTTTCAGAATCACAGAGGAACCGTCTAATTCGGAATCGAGTCGAGTAGGACCACAAGGGCGGCAAAACTCTCCCTCAAGAGTTTTAACACTGCTGCATTCTCAGGGCTCGAATACGAGACTTAAGCTGGAAGAGACTCAAATCATCTTATCGAAGCGATCTTGGTTTTTTTTTG